GTACTTTGAAAATGTAATATTCTTGGCTATGTGACGAAATTTTGTGATTGTAAGCATTTATAATGGAGTGTGTGATACTAAGATAGCTTGATCGGGAGTTTTCTAGAAGGCTGGTACATATGATATTGGGAGTTTCGTTACACTCATGCCTCTTCTAGTTATACTCGTGTATCAGCGTTTATTTGCTCCCTATCAGTAACCTTTGGAGTTGAGGATTCTAAAAATGAAAGAAATGAACCTAGAGATGCATATGAACTTGGATTTGGAATTTAACGCATGTATAAAACAGCACAGGTACATATTACAATTTTTAGTCCTCAAAGAAACCAAGTGAAAGCAACAATTCATACACAATTGAAAGATCGGATCCTCACCTGTCACTGGCTCTCCCTTATCTTTTCATTACCAAGAATACACTTTCCCCACCTTCCCTTTTCTTTGAGGCCTGACGAATAGGTCTGCAAACAAAATTGATGCATAAATCTTCAGAATATATTCCAAATGAGATCTAGTTTATGTTTCTATCAATTATTTAGCATGATTCCAAATGGTACTTAGCTTAATTATCAAACTAAGAAGGCACACAGCACACCACTTTATTACAAAATTGGAAAAAAGAGAGTGAAAAATATTCAAGGAATCAATTCCAACTATCTCTCAATCACACAAATCACAGAGCACACCACTTCATTCCAACTAAAATATTGAGCATTCAAGGAATCTGAACTCATAAATGATTACTAACTTTTTTTCCACCCAGCCAAATATGTGGTAAACCGCCAAAAAAAAAAAAAAATCCAAAACATAAAAGCTGTACTGAAAAGCTGAAACATGCAAGGAGGGCTTTTGAGATTAGATGAAGAGAAGTTAAGGAAGGCTTTTGAGACCGAAGATGAAGACAACCCAGTAGGATAAAAAAATGGTATCATGCACATTCCTTTTTGATCATCTCATGCTTCTGAAAGTTAACATGCCAACTAAACCCTTCATATTTCATTGTGCGATGAATTTTCAGCATAAATTGTGAAGGAAAGGATGTCGATGGAATGAAGACTCTTCTAATTAACTTCTAACCAAAACAGTGGGAGTGTAATTAAGGTGTTGGATGAGGTAGAAAACATCAGATAGATGTTCTGATAACTATAACTATTTGCATGTATAACATAGGAGGCCATTCATAAAATGCAAACACATTCCGAAAGTGTCGAAAGTGCCAAGGCTAATTAAGGTTAGGGGAATTTTTGGAAATAACTCGGTGCTAAAAGAAAAAAGCCAACTGTTCTGCTATTCTCACCTTTCGTTTTCTTCAAGGCTCACTGCCAACATGAGCTCTACGGCAAGAATGGACTTTCCCACCTTTCCTTTTCTTCGATCTTCGACGAATAGGTCTGCAACCAATGAGTATGTAAAACCATAAAAAAACATGAATTGTATTTGTTTTAATAACTTGAATCAGATTTATAAAAATTGAAAGAGCCTGAAAAAAGAAAACATGACGACACAGTAAGTTGTAGGATAAAAAAAAGGGGGAGGACTGAGGTGCCAACTGAAACATCAAGTATTGGTACCAAAACACAAAAGAACTTAAAAGTCAAAATATAAAGCCTCCATAACAATATTTACTTTATCACACATCAAGTATTGGTACAGAAAGTTTATACATTTGAAGTAAATCAGTTAAGTTATTATCATGTTTCCTGCAAAAGATCGTAAGCACCTAACCAACTGCAGCTATATAATACCATGACTTCAATAATAAGGAAACATATAACATTGAGAGGTAATTTTAGACACAACTTCCCCCCCATCTGTTCGGAATGCAACCATCTTTTTGTTCATCACCCTTTGTCTAGTATGATAAGGAAGAAAGGCATACCAACCAACGCAAAAATTCACAGAAATGTGAAGGTCAAGTCAATCTATCCAAAAACTTAAAAAGTAAATTGTGAAAGGAAAACATGCAGTTATTCCAATTTTATTTCAAGATGATTAAATTAAAAGAAAGATCAACCCAAAAAAAACACAAACCAATGTAATTAGACAGATCCTTTAGCAGCAATCAAATCTTGGTAACATCCAAAGGTTCAAAAAACAATTAATCAAATTTGCAGCAATGAGAATGTTCATGGATAAAACCCATTACCAGAAAAAGCCAGTAAATGAAAAATCAAATTTGCGGATATTAATTCATTTCTGATGCAATCAGAAGATTCGAAACACTGCAGAAAGCAAATACAATTCAGAAAAAAATTTACAGATACATTTTTAAATTACAAAGTACCAGAGAGAGGTGGAAAGGAAGTGGAAGAACAGAGATGGAGATTGATATTGGTGGGTGGAGATATAAGGTTCAATGTTTACCCCCAAATCATTTATAAAAAAATTAAGAAAAAAGAAAGAAATACATACTGCTCGTGCTCCTCCTTTTAAACTCTTTGAGAGTTAGTGAGAGTTAGCTTGCTGAAATCAACAGTTTTCAATCAAGATCAACAATCAATCAAGGTTTTCTTCAAGCGATTATGTCACAAAATTTTCAAATTTGATAGTGTAGCATTATCGAGAGAAATAGGTTTTAGTGTAAAAGAAATCTCTATTTGGTAGGCTCTCTCTAAATCTAGTTCCTTATAGCCTGCAAATGAGTTGTGGAGATAATTTTAGTGAAAATTGGAAAGATTATGTAGTATGCTCGGTAGAGAAGGAAGGAAGAGGACCTTTTTTCCCATCATATCGCCACCTCCATCTTTGTTCTAGACAACGTCCCAGCACCTGTATTGTAGGTTTGAAGTATAACAAAGTTCAAAACAACCACATATTATGCATGTATTTAGTTCACAAAAGAAATCAATGCTGATATTGTATATCGAAGATATAAAACTGTGTACTTGCCCTCTATCCGATAAAGGCACTCAAAATCAAAAGATGATGGTGAATTGGTGAAGCAGATGCTAAGATTAGCAATTGGATTAGCTTTTGTTCTACAATTGGTGATGCAGATGCTAAGATGGCTTTGGAAAACAAAGCGATTGGAGTCATACCCTTCCAAATCAAGAGAAGCAAGTTGGCAAAATTTATCATACATTAGAGGCATACCTTTCTGAACTGTGGAATCCGAGTCGGCATTAAATTGGTAGTAGCCTGAAATTAACAATAAAAAATATATATCAAAATAGAGTCGACATTAAACAGAGATGCAGGATAAAAATAAAATATGTCACGTATAAAGAGGTCATATTCGTCCATCTCATGCTTCTGAAACCACACAACGAACTCGTGAAAACCAAACTTAGCCTCATTCCGATTACTCATCTCTAAATACTGGTGGTATGCTGTTGATTAGTGTTGAACCTCCCACCAAACACAAATTAAAGAAAATCCAAAAATTGCTCTTCAAAAGGGAGAATAATAAAAAATAACTCACGTTTTTTTCGTTTTACTTTTGCTTCTCTTTTCTTCACCGACCTCCTCCTCTGCTTGTTTGTCTTCGAGTTTCAGTCTTGCTGTCTCAATCTACAAAACCCAAAATTGACTACAGTAAACACAAAACCCACCAAGGAATTACCTCCATAAAAAATGCCACAAAAAAACATATTAAGCTCCACATTCAATCATCAACCCAAAAACTTGAAATCCCTCGAGAGCTTGAACAAACCCCCCCCAAAACCAAGGAAATTACAAAAAATCTAAGACTGTATCACATAAAAAGAAAATGCTTACCAGATTGTCTTTGAGTGAGTGCGTGTTTTGCCTCAATGCAATCTTTGAGAGAGCAAGAGTGATGGAAGCTACTAAGGACACATAAGGAAAGATGGAAAAAAAAGAGAAGTGTGCAGATGATGGGACCAAATAAAAAAACTGCAATTGGAAAAAATCTTGAATCAAAGGTTGAAATCAAAAGCTAAATGGAAAGGAAAGTTGGGGTGCACAAAATGGAAAACTTACTTAAATATGGCGATCGGAAGAGAGAAAGGAAGATGAGCAACAGCCAGGAGATTGGGCTCCTGAAAGTGGGTGTTCGGGATCGAAGGTGTGAAGAGGATGGGCTCCAAGACGACGTCCCGAAGTCTGGTTTCGAAAATTGGGCTCTTTTCGAATATTCATCTGTATATAGTGGTGGTATGTGGGCAGTTGTTGTTGAACCTTCAACTGAACTCAGATCATGGGAATCGTTGAACTGCTCGCTGGTTTCGTCGTGGGAATCGTCAAACTGTTCTCTGGTTTCGATCGTGGGAAGTTGGAGTAGGACTGATAGCTGAACTGGCAACTGTCTATTCCTTTTCACTTTCCATTAGGTTTCAAATTCTGTAGTTAATGTTATTACCTCTTTATACTTCATTGATTAACATGCTTAACTTTATTAAAAGGCCTAATTGGATTAACAGTTCCTGTGGCTATAGGCTAATTGGAAAATAACCTCTGTAGTGAAAAAAACTAAGATTTAAGCTTTGTGGTAAAATCTGTTAGGATTTATGCACTAAATTAAAATATTAGGCTAAAACAGAACTCTTCATACACATATTAGGCTAAAACGGACCTCTTCATTAATTGTTAACACGTGAGGCTAGCTCACGTGCTAATAATTAACAGAAAGTTGACGAAATTTTCAATTTTCGGCATAAATCCTAACAAACTTTACCACATGGGCTTAAATCCTAATTTTTTTTATCACATGAGCTATCTTCCAACTAACATATCATCACAAGAACTGTTAATCCAATTAAGCCTTATTAAAACAATTTATGTAGAATGAACATCTTAAATTGAAAATATTTAAATTTAGATAAAATATGGACAATCACACAATACATACGAACCACACTTAACCAAAGCCAACTTACCAAACCAAATGTACTCACAATTTGAGTGTCTCTGACGTGGCAGAAGAGCAAGTGCACCGTGTGGCATACCTTCTTTCGGAGTGGCGTACATGGCAATCCGTGCACCCGTAATACTAGGGGATATATCCGGCATTTTCACAGAAGCTGTACCCTTTAAACCAAAGCCTTCTCACTTTCCCTCTCAAATTACACTTTCTGGCGCCTTCGATTCGATTTCGATTCCGTCAGTTTTTTAGGGTTTCAGTTTTCCCTCTCTATACACTCCAAAGCCCCAATCTTTGCACTATCTCTCTCTATTTTCCCAAATCAATCAACTTTCTCGCACTTTCTCGGCTATCAAACAGCCAGTTACCCTGTTTCGACGATGGATGTGAGGTTAACAGAAGGGGCGATAATGAAGATGTGCACAGAGGAGCTCAACGACGGGAGCTTTCAGCCCATCCTGCAAGTGATGGACGTGAAGCTGGTCCATACGGCGGCGCGAAATGGAGCTCAGCCGGGCCAGGATAAGGAGAGATACAGGGTTGTGATCTCCGACGGGTCGCACTACCAGCAGGGGATGCTGGGCACCCAGAAGAACACACTGGTTCGGCAAGGTATGCTTCAGAGCGGCTCCATCGTCTGCCTCAAACAGTTCACCTGCAACGCAATCCAAAACCGCCTGTAAGTATTCTTATACTATGTCATCCTTTTCCAATTTCACTCTTTTTTTTTTTGTCGATTCGTTTGCGAAATTTTACAAATGGGGTATTATTTATTTATTTTTGTTTCGACTCGATTCGGTTTGAAGTTTTGTTTTCTGTATGGGAATTTTCTAGGGGACGGAGAGAAAAAGGGTTATCGAATTTACGGGTTTAGTTGATTAAGAATTTAGGACTCTAGTGATTTGGTTTCGGTTAGTTCGATATTTGCAGTCATGGTGAGAAGCATTGATGATGGTTTGGTTGGTTAACATTTTGTTTCGTTATGTCTATAATTGTTTGTTCTTTCCGATTGTACAATTTCTTTTGATATGTTAAATGGAATTATTCATATTTGGGTTACGGTTTGCAGGATTATCATTATAATCGAATTGGATTTGGTGCTTGACAAATGTGATTTCATTGGCAGTCCTGTACCGGGACCTAAGTATTCGAATGCACAGTCGTCAGGGACGTCACCTGGAAATTCTCAATCTCTTGGTGGCACTGCACATTCTGGCGGCACAGTTCATCAAACTGGCACGGGGGCTACTCCAGAACAGCCTAGAGTAAATCAATCATTTGGTAGTGCAGCTAGTGCTTACTCTGGTAATGCTGAGCCAGGAAGAAATGCTACTATGAATACACCTCCCAATTACCCTAAACCAGAGTCTGGATTTGGTTTTCCTGGATCAGCACCATCAAGTGGGTCATATGGCAATCAGAACATAGGTTTTCACAACCCTAGACCTGAGGTTCCTCAGCCACCACCAAATTCTTATGCCCGCCCACCTCAGCCATCTTATCAGCAGCCACCTCCGGTGTATACTAATAGAGGACCAGTTGCCAAAAATGACGCTCCTCCAAGAATAATGCCAATTGCTGCTCTGAATCCATATCAAGGAAGGTGGACAATCAAGGCTAGAGTGACAGCTAAAGGAGAACTTAGGCGCTATAACAATACACGTGGCGATGGGAAAGTATTTTCTTTTGATCTTCTTGATGCTCATAATGGAGAAATTCGAGCAACCTGTTTTAATGCAGTGGCTGATCAATTCTACAACCAGATTGAAGTTGGTAAGATTTATTTGGTCTCCAGGGGTAGTTTAAAACCAGCTCAAAAGAATTTCAACCACCTCAACAATGACCATGAAATTCTTTTAGATAACTCATCAGTAATACAGTCATGTTTTGAGGATGATGATTCGATTCCACATCATAATTTCAATTTCAGTCCAATAAATCTTGTTGAAGGCTTGGAGAACAACACTATTGTGGATGTAATAGGTGTGGTATCATCCATCAGTCCCCCTGCCTCTATAATGAGGAAAAATGGTGTTGAGACTCAGAAGCGAACCCTCCACTTGAAGGACATGTCTGGTCGTAGTGTTGAAGTAACTCTTTGGGGAAATTTGTGCAATACAGAAGGACAAAGACTGCAGGTTATGTGTGATTCTGGTCTATTCCCGGTGCTTGCTGTAAAAGGTGGTAGAGTCAATGACTTCAATGGGAAGGCGGTGGGGACCATTTCCACAAGTCAGCTTCTAATAGAGCCTAATATCGAGAAGGCTCATGAGGTGAGGAACTGGTTTGAGAAGGAAGGAAAGAATACCCCATGTATCTCTATTTCCAGGGAAACGGCGGGTGTGGGTAGAACAGAGAACCGAAAGACTATATCCCAAATTAAAGATGAGAAGCTAGGGACTTCCGAGAAGCCAGATTGGATCACAGTTGGTGCAACCATTTCATTTGTAAAGGTTGATAGTTTTTGCTATTCAGCATGCCCAATCATGATTGGTGATCGACAATGCAGCAAAAAGGTTACAAATAATGGAGATGGGACTTGGAGGTGTGAAAGATGCAATGAGTCCGTGGAAGAATGTGACTACAGATATATACTCCAGTTTCAGATACAGGACCATACTGACTCAACATGGGTAACTGCATTTCAGGAGGGTGGTGACGAAATCATGGGATTACCTGCAAAAGATTTGTATTTTATCAAATTTGAAGAGCAAGATGATGAGAAGTTTGCAGAAATCATTCAGAAGGTTCTCTTTACCAAATTCATTTTCAAGTTGAAAGTAAAGGAGGAGACTTTTAGTGATGAGCAACGTGTAAAATCAACAGTTATCAAAGCTGAGAAAGTGAACCATTCATCGCATGCTAGATATCATTTGGAATTGATGGATAAACTTAAGATAGAAAATATTAGTGCTTCTGCCTCCAAAGCTGACAATGTAACGCCTAGCGCTGGAATGAATGTTGCTGGTGTCGGGAACACTGCAATTAGACAGCCCACTCCTGCTGTGAATGTTGGTTACAGTAACAATGCTGGTAGAGAATTTGGAGCACCAGAAAATCAAGCGGGTCACCATGCGAATCAGTATGGCGGTACGTTCCTTTCAGGGGGTTCTGCTGGTTCATATCAAATATGTAAGAGTTGTGGGGATGCTGGCCATAGCTCAATGAACTGCCCAACTGTAATGAATGGCCCAGGACAGTCGTCAGGAGTGGGCTATAACAATAGAGTGTCTTCTAGGCCAGGTATCAGCAATACTTCTGGTGAATGCTACAAATGCCACCAACCTGGACACTGGGCAAGAGACTGTCCTGGGTTAAACACTTCTCCAGCTTATGGAAGCAGCGGAATCAACCGTGGGACATATGCTGTTTCAAATCAAGAGGTCGGTCGCTTTTGAGGTTTGCTTGGACAGGGTTTGTATAATAGATGGACGCTTGGTCAGCGTCCTTTGCTGGGTGTCGGATGTGCTTCTTGATTATGGGATTTTGAGTAGGTGAACTTTTCCCTTGTAGCAGCAGAGGGTTGAACCATGGTTAGGCTGGAGCTGAACCGAACTTGTAGCCTTTATTTGAAGCAGTCCTTCCAACTTCAGAATCATGTTTTGAAAGAGAAGCTTTGGTGAGAACGCCTCAGACTCTTTGTTATTACCTAATATGTTTTTGTCTTAATTTCATGGATTTTGTTTTTGTTTTAGTCTCTTGTGTAAAGGTATTGCTTGTACTGATTAGAAAAGCTTTAATGAAATCCCATGCTATAAGGGTCTGCGTACGGTTGCCCCATTTAAGTATGTGTTGGTTCATCTCTCCACTTCTAACCATTTAAGTATGTGTTGGTTTATCTCACCATTTCTAACCATTTTGAGCATGCATGGGTTGTTTCCCATCAAGAAATGCATTTTGTAAAACCCTTCAGTTGAGGCTGAAGTAGCCAAATTTGCAGATACAGTTTGCATTTTATTTGGGTTTTCAATTTCCTCCTCCTCCAGGCTACAATAGATGCATGTCTTGTCGGATTGGCAGCGCGTCATTGGTGATTGTACATTCTATTTCTCTTCTACCATCCAATGTTGATTTGATGCCATTGCGGAAAGTGCGGTTTGGTTGACGCTTGAGTTGAGTACCGTCTCTTTCTCTCAAACTATTTTATTCTCATTTCTTCTTGCTTATTTCTCGACGACTTTGCCGTCCTCGTAAGATTTCAGTACTCATGTCATGTATTTGAATGGACTCTTCAAATCCAATTTCATGCTGCTGAGGACCCTTAAGTTTAGAATGCTCGGAGGACTTAAAAGTTGGTTGGGAGTGGCAACTGGCAATGGTGTCACTCGTGCAATTTCAAGGAATTTTTGTTGATTTTATTGACAGCCCAAAAGAAGGATGTACGGGTTATAGGCCAGTGCAGCTTTCGGGCACAAGAATTAGTAGTATCAGGTTTTCTCTTCTGCGCACCGGGTCCTGTGCACATGGGTTGCGCATGACCACATGTCTTGGTTGGGTCTCATGACGCCATGGCGACACTCCAACAGCAGTTTACGGTGTTTCATCGACACTGTAACGATACTCCAACAATCCAATAGCGCTGTAACCACTGCACGGTTTGGGCATAACCCGAATTTGTTGTTACAACGTCATTATGGCATCAGTGGCGTCAATAGACCCATCCGGTTGCAAGCCATACGCACAAAATTTGTGGGCAGGAGAGAAAATCTGTTTAGCAGTATTGAGCCCAAAATTGCTCAACGATGCCCATCTGAGAGCTAGAGCCGGTCCATGCTGGAGCACAATGTTAGGGAAAGGTAACCACACAATTTAGGGTTTGTTTCGAATTGCTTTTTAAATAGAAAATTCTACTCAGAAGCATTTTTAATATAAGTGCTTCTATTAGAAACATGGTGAATTTCTAATAAAAATGCAAGTGTTATTTGGAAACAAGTTTTTCCCCTTCAAGCGTTTTTTGGAACCTAGAAGCACTTCATATTCTTTAAATCATATTCATAAGCGTTTTTGGTGATCTGAAAATACTTTTAGTTAATTTAAAAGAACTTGCTTAATCATATATGATGTTTTTATTTCATTTATTTAGTCATCGGAAACAGGATAGAATGTGTGTACAAGAAGAAAAATGTGTGATTACAATTTCTCTAATTACTAGATTCCTTGTTTACCACTAATAGACACTGAAAATTTTAGAGAGTTTTAACGAAAAGCTTACGGTACTGTTTACTTTAACGAAAAATTATATTTTTACACTAAAAAGTCAATCCTGTTACTATTCACTTTACATTTTATTTTGTCCTTATTATTAAAACTCAATTTTCAAATCATTTTCATTAGTTTTCCTAAAATTTTACCCCTCCCCTTAAAAAATCCATGATTCTGCCGTGCGAAAGAGACCAGAGAAGATTCCATGGAACAAATAGCTGAAGAAATTATCAATGTTTTTGGAGTGCGTCGCTAGGAAGTTCATAAGTATGCGCATAAAATGCTCAAAGGGTTATATGTTATTATTTTGGTTAATTTCCAAGAGTATATGTTGGTCGGCATGTACATTAGTGTATGGGAGGAAGCTTGTATACAATAAGAAGATCCAGACTGCCGCCCATAACATGGTCACACACACTGTTGCCATTTGTCCTAAAAGTAGATGAATGATTGGAGAGAGAACAGGAGGAGTATGACATTACGTGTTATAATCTAAGGAGTAACGCTTTATTAATCATATATTTGTACCATCATTTTAATACAGGTATGACTCACCAATACATATGAGTTTCATTTCTATTAGAGAAATTATACAAATATATAATAAGGGTAGCATTTTTGTAATATAAGTAGACGTTTCTAGCTTTTTACACACCCTTCCATATTTATGATTACTAGATTGAATAAAGTATTCGGATTTCACTGTCAGAATTAAACAAAGATGTGTAAGAAATTAAAAATAGTGTGTGAAAGTCACTTTTCTTTTCGAAAGTCCTCTTTTCACTTCTATTATAAAATACAGTGTACAATCTTATATTATAAAATACAATGTACAATCTTATAATATAAAATAGTGTACAATCTTATGTTGCAGATACATAAAAAAATCTCTCCAGGGTGAAAAGGCCTTTCTTTTTGGTTGCCACACACAAACACATGCAGATGCACATGCAAATGCCGTATGGAGTGCGAGATTTGATGGATGCCAAAAATAAGCATGTTCCCTCCCTCACTTCCTCTCTTTCATCTGTAATTTATATATATATATATATATATATATATATATAAAATAAGTCAATTTACTCAAAATAGCGACATGTCGTGTTAATAAACACACTAAATCAATCCGCGTTGAGTTCATCAAGTTGCATCACCGACTCTTTGTCCTTACTTTCCCCTTCTAATCCTTTTAAGCATTGATTTTCCATTTGGAGGGCCCCAAACCATGTGACAAGGTTTCTTCTATCTTTTTCTCTATCGATTTTGGTGATAATGTACAACCCTAATCTTTCGAAAGACCCATGTTATATGTCGTAATTTAATAATTTATAGTCAAATTTCTGTTAAGATTTCATAGTCGAGTCAGTGGTCACTCTTAGTCATATCAATATTGTATTAGCTTAATAACATGCACAACCTAACAAGTTTTTCGTTTCATTATAAAATTCCTTAATATTAAAATTTCATAGTTGAGTCAATGGTCTACTAACAATCACATCAAAGAAGTGAAGTCTTGCTTCATAGTTTAAATAACTATTATCCTCTCCCTCACATTGCCCATTGGTTTTAGGAGTGATGCTCACATTCCAAAACAATTGAGTTGACAAACTATACCTACTTCCCCAAGTAGGGAACATAAAACGAATAGCTATACGGTTTACCTTAAAGGGTAGTGCTGTTCACACATCTTTTTTACCTCACACGCACCCTAGTTAATTTTTTTTCATCGATCTTCTTCCATCCATTTGATTTAATAGTCGAAAATTAAGAGAAATGTGTAAGAAGTAAAAATAAATATGTGAATAACAACACTTTATATTAAAATATACCCTTAGGTTTCTCAAGCTTTACATTTACATTTTTTTTTTTTTTTGGTGGAACAGCAAACAAATTGTAAATAACTTATTTGGTTTGCTAGTTCTTTGGAGTGGCCAACTTTTTTCATTAGGCAATTGGGTAGGCGACAAGCATAAATTTATAGCTAGTTGTGTTAGGGAAGTGGTAGATTAATCTGGTAATTAGGATATTTCTCTTTAACCATTACGTCCTAAATTTAAACTCTTCATTTTTTTTGTTCTCAATGTAAATTAGTGTAAAATATTGTTTGTAATAGTAGTGCTAATACAATTTGTGTTATAACACAAAATAACATGGGAATTTGTGTGGCTGTATAGGCAAATGTGAACCTACTTGCTAGACTGGAGTTCTAATATTATTCCCAAATAGATTGGATAGTCTATTTTTACGAGTAGTGTGCATATATGACATTTTTGTTTCACATGAGTACCTTAAAAACATTTCCACACCCACCGTTACCATCACTTTTTTCCCACGCTGAAGAAGACCAATTGTCATCTTATACTGCATATATTTGAGTTTTGGTTTAAACAATGCCTTCTTGTTTAGGCGCGATTACGTTGGAAAATACGTAATTATGTAGGAGTGAATCCACTTTGTAGAAACGTGCGTTAGCTGACACCTTCAAGTTTAGAAACTTTTGATAAAAGAGTCGGTCAGCCTTTTTGACAATTTGAGATGTCACTTAAAGCTGCTTTCCAGCTATTCGACGAATTGTCTTTATGGGCACTGAATAGGGTACCTGCTAGTGCCTTTGCATGCGTAGCTATGAGCATCTTTCTGATATGCTCACTCGGCATATGTTGAAATGCTCACTCAAAAGCTATTGACAACAGTCAACATGACATTATTAATAGTTAGATCATGAACATCTTATTCAGTATAGACGTAACTTATTATTAAGGGATGTCATGGAATTACACAATATTGTAACGTTATAATTATTTAGACATAGTAACGTTTGTATTCCAGTACATTAATTTAGTTTAAAATAAGATGAAGTTCTCATCCTCTTTGAGTTTTTGTGTCCGAAGCTCGAAAACTTAAAGATTCGGGTCATTGGAGAAAGAGAAAGAAAAATCTAAAGTTATATTTTATGTGAGATGAGTCATAAAATAGGAGCGATACGAAACTCAAAATCCACTGATTCCAAGCACAAAGATTGGAAAAGAATCTCAATTCCTCAGAATATGGTCTAAGGAATTGGTACGGCAATAAAGTTCTCACCATTTGCATTGGTACGGCAATAAAGTTCTCACCATTTGCCTGGATGACCTTTTCTTTATTCTTCATTATTTATCCCCCAATTAAGGATAATTCTATAAGCAAAGTATAACACATACCAACGCAAAGAAAAAGGTCAGATCCAATCCAAACCAATGAACATAAAAGGGAAAAGAAAAGGTAAAAAAGGAGACTAACATGTCGGTGGTGTATTTTATATTTATTTGTTTGTTATAATAGAAATAGAAAGAAGTAGTTTAAGCTTTAAAAGTTTGAGACTCGACTGTAATGCATGCAATACATTCATTATATAACGGTCACACATACAACTAAAACGAGATAATACCATATCTGACTGTGACATAATAACTATATTATGTAAATGCATGTATTGTAGCTGGTAACTAAAATTTGAAATCCCTAGCGCAATCCAAACTAACTAAATCAAAGAAAAATATAGCAATGGAAGGAATATTATATCCTGGAATTGAAGTTTGTTGATACTGCGCTCGGTAATTTTTTCTAAAAAAAGACCAGCTAGTAGTCAAGTTACGATAATTTACCTTTTTTAGAACTAAAAAACACACATAGGTATTTTAATTTATTTTTGACTACCATCGTATGATTCACTAACAACGAAAAGAAAAAAAAAAATTGATGTTCACTGCTTTTTGTACCTTTTGTGTTCACGCTTTAGCTGTAAAAAGAAAATTAAATAAAGGAAACGTAATGTACAGCTAATTAAAACTCTCACTATTGCCTATTAAAGCTAGTATTGCGTTCAAGCTGGAAGGTGGCATGTTTTATACAATCATTGGACTGTAGCATAAACATAACTCATCCAAAAGAGAATTATATAATACACACATATCTCGATGATTGGAGCAATAGTATCTGAATTTTAGTCTAAATGAATTTTTGGTCTTTGAACAAAAAATTTGCAAGTATTGATTTGTGAATCTGTTATAATATTTATAAATGATTCTTTTGCGTAACTCTGTTAAAATCATACGTCCCTCTTTTACCTCTTAAAACTATTTATTTTCGATAGGATATTTAACAATGTTACTTAAAAGGACCATTGCCATATATTGTGACAAATTCAATGACCAGGATTCATGGATTTTTAGTTCAAGGATCGAAACTTAAGAACTCTCAAATTTAATGTTAATTGCAATCTAATATATCATAGTCAGTGATCCTTTATCACAGAGTTAGAAAAATGTTGAGTCATTGCATTACGATGTGAGTTTGAGCTCTATCAGCTCCTAATCTAACATCTAATCTGACCAAATTGATCGTTTGACAAAAAAAAAAAAAAATCTTATAGATCGAAGTTGTTTATCAATAAAAAAAGTTCTAATGGCCCCAAATCAATAATAGAAAAAGATCCCTTCGAGTAGAAGCAGGAATGGTATGGCCCCAAACATTATTAAGTTTCAAGAATGGCCAAATATTAGTGATAAGAGTCGACCACAAAATTCACTTCCTCAAACAACATGCTTCTAAATAAAAAAAAATATTGTCAAACAAGTCTACGGTTCGTTTGGAAATGGTTTTAAAATAGTTAAAAACGCTTTTAGTGAAAATATTTTTTGTACAATCCTTAATAAAAATGCAAGTGAATCTTGAAAAGAACTTCGATTGTTTTTAGAACTCAAAAATATTTTCGTTAAAATCGTTTTCAGTCAAGTGATAATGGATTATGATTAAGATAGTGTCCAAGTGTTGGATTTCATTCAATGTAAAAAACTCCGGTGAAGAAAAAATATGCTGCTTATGCCACAATACAACCCACATTATTGTCATCAATTGCATAATCATGAAAGGTAAAATTTACATATAACGTGAGATCCATAAATACCCTTATAGACAGACACCTTGTAGACTCACTCTGCATTTATTTTAACGATTCGAATTGTTTATTTCTAAGTTATTATTCATAATCATTCTTATGTGTATATTTTACAAATCTAATTATGTAGTTTAATTAAGCTTTATATATTAAAAAAAGAGTAATTTGATTAACCAGTTATAGATTCGAATAGTGTCAAGTGTTCGATATTTCATTCAATTTAGTAGAAAAATCAGTAAAATAATTTGAATGAAGGGCACCGGGTAATAGATATCCAGAACTCTTGGTCGAGTCATATCTTGTGGGAGATCTAGGATCTTCGTCAAACGTATTTGATTGTAAGCCAGGGTGAGGGAACCAGCGGCGAAGTTATGCCAAAATATTCACCCCAGTCAAAATTTCATATTATTACTTCCGATTCTTTGTTACATCCGCCTAAGTATCACTATGACTAGTATCTTATGAAGTTTATTAGGGTTATTATACATTTTTAAAAGTTTCACTTATAAGCGAAAGTTGTGGAGGTTAAAATAATCTCAAAAATTCTAGAGATGACACGTGAACTTTTATTCGAGAAAGACAATATTACCCTTAATAAATGGGCATGCTTCTCATATGCTCCCCGCGCATCTCACACCCGTGGAGGGCTTAGCAGCTGAATACGATAGCTCACAGCTCACCTGTCATTGGCAAGGAATTAGAGATAAGGATTAATTACCCAAATCTTATCTTTAATACATTCCTAATTGAAGATTGACTCCAATCAACAAAGTAATCCTAATTTAAATCAATTAGGGATAATTACATCATTATCTCAAAATATTATTTCCTATTTAATATCTTGGGAATATTTAGAGAATATCTCTCCATTAAACACTATATGGCAGGCCCTAGCCCTATAAATACCCCACATAGGTCTCTGATCAAAGGTGTTGATTGCAGGTGCATTTTCGTCAAGACTGAAGACGGCCGAAATTTACATCAACAAATTGGTGCTTTCATTGAGAGGTGATTCAAAATACTCGAAGAAGCCTCTTGCATTAGTTCCTTGAATTTTCTGTTACGTTGAATTTCTTACACGTCCTACGGTAAAGCTTCGCAAAAGACATGGCGAAATAGAAGGATGAAGCAAAAACAATGAAAGCAGTTTATTAAATTTCTAGCAAATTGATAAACCGGCTCGAAGACCAACAAAGTTCAAGCAAAGCAGAACAAAAAGGAAAAGAAGAAAACTCCTAAGTCTAAGTAAAAAGATTACTCTTTAGCAGCTTGTTTAACCACTGGTTTCTCGAATGCCACACCTTCAGCAGTTGTGCCATTCCCAACAGTTAAAACTTCCATCAGATCATGCTTAGCAATCCCCGCCTAGACTGCCTGACCCTCAGCTGATCCACCAAAAGCAGCCTCAAAAGAGAAATCAAGCAGATCAAGAAGCGAGCGTTACTTCGTGACCAACTTTCTCATTCTTTAGTTGCGCATTCTCATCAACAAGCCCAGTGTGAGCACCTTGCAACTCACCCAGTTCCTTTTTTAGGTTTTCGCTAGCAGACAACACACCTTGCAGATCCATCTACTTGGACTCAAGCTTACTGGCAACCTCATTAAGACAAGACACTTCAGCATGCATGAAGATAAGTTCCTCATCCTTAGCAAAATAAGAAGATCATAGCTCCGAATTGGCACGCTCAAGGTTATCGACCACCGGAGAAACACGGCTGATTTCCTTCTTTGCAGCTTCTAACATTGCCTGAATCGCACTAAGCCTAGCATTCAAACGGACGACCTCTTGATGAGCGATCTCCAGCTGCAAAGTAGTAGGGGTAGAGACATTAGACCCCTTCAAACCAGCGAGTTCAGATTCGAGCTTCTCGATCTTTTCAGCAGCAGAACAAAGCTGAACCACCAACACTAATTCGGCCTCCTTAGCGCACTTGACAGCATTATGATCAACACACATAGACTCAACTGCTAGGATCAAAGTCTTATGCATTGTAGCAATTAGGGATGACATTCTCGAGTAGGCAGAACGCTTCGCAAAAGAGTCTGAACAGACGATAACTTTCCTAACACTGTCAACAAACTTGGCGCATGCATTAACGTCCTCAAGTAGATTAGCCTTCAGTAGTGTACAAACTACAGGAAATTCTCCAACCTCAGACTTAATGAATCTTTCACAACTACCCGTGCAAGCAGATTTCCCCTTCTTAGCAGACAAGTCAATCACGGCAGAAAGAGTAGCAGGCCCAGATGCCACCTTAGCAGCAGAATCCACTTTCCCGCTATTCATGGTGGTAAGCTTCTCAGAAGCAGAGCCAGACTTAGCTCTCGACGAACGCTTCGATACAAACCCGGACATCGGAGGCACCACCGAACTCTTCCATTGGGCAAGTCTCTCAGCAATAGATGCGGGCACCTTCGGAGCAGCAGGTTTCACATGCTCAAGCTCAAGAAGTTAGATCAATGACAAGCTTCTTGGCAGCAGACGAACTTCCACGAGCAGCAGAAAAAGTCATTGACTTCTTCTCAAATGAAGGCTCACAAGCAGGTAAGGAAAACCTCTTCTTTCCACCACCATTGGTAGCAGGTTCTATAGCAACGATCGGGCAAGCTAATGCCTCATCCTATATCTGCTTTATCTCTTCCCTTGGGGGTGGGCCACCTTTTTCCCAACGGAGAGGGCTAAGCAGCCTGCGCCACTCATAGTACTCAGCAGGAATGCCCAATGCGACGTGCACTTTCTTCATATCTGTCAAAGTCCTAAGGGTTGAGCCAAACTCTGAATCTACACAATGCAAGAAAGATGATCAATAAATTGAAGTCATGGAGCAGTTCAACGAAAAATTCAAGCAGGACAAGAATGAAGCAGTTCACTTACTATTGATAAAGGTAGTCGGAACACGCAGCTAAGGAAAAGAGTCAGACTCCTACTCTCCGCTCACCTCCAAGGTATCTCTGGTCCACTCATGATCGCATTTGCTAGAAGCATCAAGCAGCTTATGGCAAGACCTCAGCTGCCTCACACCTTCCTTGTGGCCAATCTTAAAGAAGTACCAAAACTCATATATGGTCAAGCTAAGATCAAAGAACCTTCTCAAGTTCAAGAGACCCACCATCGCACGAACTGCATTCAGGGAGCACTGAGCAGGCGTGCATTTCATAGAGCATATCACCTTCTGGAAAAAATGCGGCATGGGAAAAGTAAATCCCAACACAATGTAGTACATATGGAATTTGATAGCTCTCTTCCTAGTAAAGGCACCATTGCCGCATGGTTCATGCCCGCTATCATTTTTCACTCATTTAACGCGAACCCCAAAAGGAATCGCATGCTTGTACACCTCAAGAAAATCCTAAGTATTTTCCTATTTAATATCTTGGGAATATTTAGATAATATCTTTCCATTAAACACTATATGGCCGGCCCTAGCCCTATAAATACCCCACATTCTACCAAATTTTGAGAGCTTTTGCAACCCTAAGAAAAGCCCTAAACACTTTACTCTCTCAGAGAAACTAACTTAGGCATCGGAGATCCGTTGACCTAACCCCCCACCTTGTGGGCTCGTGAGGCTTAGGTCTTTGATCAAAGGTGTTGGTTGTTTTGCAGGTGCATTTTCGTCAAGACTGAAGATGGCGGAAATTTGATCGACAAGAGTGGTGGCAGATTCAGGAGTGGCAGATATTTAGATTCGAATGAGTTTTCAGTGTTAAAGTACAAGTTTTTTTGGATAGAAATAGAATGTGAAGCGTGCAAATTTTGTTTAAATTTATTCACCAAGGCATTTTGTCAAACACTTGGTGGGCTTGTTGTCGTCAACCAAACCGCGCACATGTCAACAGATGTCAACATCGAAGCAATCTGATGAGTGATTTTGAGAGAATTTGTTGAGTGGTGTCAAGGCAACCTATCGAGGTATGTCTAACATACATTACATCCGACACTTGGTAGGCATAAAAAAGACCTCATAAGATCTTCACAAGCATATCTCCCAGACTCCGGATGGTCCTAGAACCACCTTTGTCCCCTTGTACATCCTCCCCTGAGTGAGAGGTCTTAGATCACGGTCAAGGGTGGAACCAAATGCAAAACTACCTACAAATCAATTATTCCCTAAATTTTTTTTATGTATATTTCAGTTTTATTTCAACCATATACAAATACACTAAAATCCGAATGTGAAAATTGAAATGAGGCATATTTTGAACGGTAGGATACATGGATGATGTAGTACATCCATATATACAAGAATTTCTCATTAGAAATAATTCCTTAACGTTGTAATAATTGATTTATTTTATATATATTTGTCTTGTTAAAGCTCGCTAAGCATAGAATGATTGAATGAGATCTGCTGATAAGATTTAACGTAACCGTCAGAAACAAAAAATGATCCTTAACTTTCTAGCTACTCAGCCTACTAGCCAAAAATTTCTCTGGCTCCACGCTTGTCTACAGTCAACTCTTATAGACGACAAGTTTAATATCAAATTATTATCGTTTATCTTATTGTGTGACTAACTCAATTATTCACGTTTTTAGTATAAATATATCGTTGTATTAAAAAAATTCAGTTAAAAATTTACGTTTTGGAGCACATCGATCTCTAATATTATCGTTGAGGGTCAACGACAAATATCCATATCAAAACATTTGTTTAAGATTTTGTGAAACCGGATATTTTAAACAGTGCATGCAAACAGCGTACGTAATAGTTTGGATGCATCTCCGATGAGGGATGGTATTTACCATCCGGCTCTGGAATATTTTGGTCTTGTGAGTTGTGAGCACGTATTTGCCAAAACACCAAACTCTTTGATGCTAAAATACCAATCTTCAATAATAAATTCTTCAGAAAAGAAAAAATAATTAAGGTTGACGGTGAATAACACTTGCCTACTTAAAAGATAAATAGGAATTCCTATTTGAAATTGTTCATTGTCAATTCATAGAATTTCGTGTTTGTGGTTATAGTTGTTCATATTATAAATCATTTTATAAAGATCATATCTGCAAAAAAAATTAATTAAAACTAAAGTGACCAATAAAAACAGATGAATTAAATTGGTAAAAGAATTATGAACAATCTATGCATATGCTACAACAAAATGACTAAACGACCTTAATTTTATTTATTTTATGTAGAGATATCTACAACTACAAGGTGCTCATATGAATGTTTTAGTCATAAGCAAAAAGTTTTGTGATTCAAACATGAAAAGTTTTAAATAAGAGTCCATACTTATTGTTAAGTAGTCAAGCATTGTTCGTCGACAATGGTGCTTACTGGTGTGGACATATGAAGATTTTTAGCAAAAAAAGGAGGACAATTGATGGCAAGCCACGATTATCCACCTCTTCTGGCCACAGAGAGATTAAGAAAAATTTCATTCTGTCTATAAACACAATCAAGGAGAATTTTGTTGAAAATCTTCACATGAAGATTAATTGATGGAAAGAATAAATTAATATGAAAATTGTCAGAAAACTTGTGATACTCTGACTCATGGCCATCTTTGAGATTCGGGGGGTCCTATGCGAAATTTGTAAAAGAGGCCCTCCTTAAGATAGTTTTAAGTTTTTAAAAAAATATGACAATGTATTGATACTAGAAAACATTCACTTAAATCAAAACAAAGTCACTTAGTACTACGGTCTAGTGATATTCCTCTTCACTTTTAAGTGAGAGGTCTTAGGTTCAATTCTCACAAAAGGCGAATTTGAACCACATTATTGTTAACTCATTGTAAGGCTTAACCCACTCTCCTACCCCCTTAATGTAGATACTATCATTTGTTTAAAAAAAAAAAATCAAAGCAAACTTTAGTACTCACTGATTGCATGCTTACAAATGTCCGTAATGATAAGTAAAAAGAGTTACAAACATAACATTCACTAAATAATCAAAAGCAGCTTTATCTTAAACAACTAAACATGACAATAAAAACTTCAAATCTCTAACTTTAAAGTTTCACTTGAATATATAACATTGTTATATAATAAAATTATAAAATTGTCATTTTTTAGGATGTTATTATTGACACTCAAAATATCTCATTGTACTCCAAGTTTTTATATTTAGAAAGAAAAAAAAATACTCTTATAAAGAATGCACAATGTGGTTTTAAAATGCTAACAAAATCAAATTTTGGATATAGAACATTATTACCTAATGTTAGAGGGAAAAAATTTAGGGGCCCCTTCAAATTTGGGGCCTTGTGTGACTGCACCTTTCGCTCCCCCTCAACGCCCCCTTTGCTTTGACTTCGTGCCTTTGAGTGGAGGGGGCTTCAACTCCCCACCGCACCTAGTATTACACCAGTCAATAAAGTAATGCCAACTCTTCTCCACAACACACCAACAAAATTCGAAAACGAGTTCAAGTGTTCGACAAAGAAAACACAGCAAAAGGAAATTTATAAAAATTAAACCAGTCAACTTTTTTTATTTTAAAATTTAAAATTTTTAAATTTAGAATAGCACTATCAAGATGTCGGTAAGTTGAACTACAAAAATACAGTCACAAAATAATAAATTAAAATCTACAAATGCTAACCCTTTTTTTATGATGAGCATAAGTTTTCTATAATTTGTGAATAATAACTTAATAAATAAATGAGAAGTAATAGTTAGCAAATGGCGATGGCGGTGGTGGCAGCAATTGTAAGAGTGTGTCTTATGGCTGATAAGGTGTTGGGGGCAGGGGTGATGGTGGTGGAGGAATGGTGACTGCGATTGTGGTGTGTTTTATGGTCATGAAAATATGGTAGTGACGATGGTGGTGGGGTTGGTGGCAGTGGCAATATACATGTATAATGTATTAGTATTAAGGTTGGGCATTTTTAACCACCAAACAAAGAAATTGAGCTAATTATTCTGAGTTTAAGTGAATAGGTTAAACTTTTTTGTTATGGATTTTACAATATGAGATTAGCTGTTTAATCAAACCGAATCAATCATCTAAACTTTTTTTATTTTTTTTTATTTTGGGTTTTAGTTGAGGTTTTTGAATACAAGGTAAAGTTTTGAGGGCAAAACCACCGGAAGAGTATTGTATCATAGTACAACCACCTGGTCACCTTTTAAAAAAATAAAAAGGAATATGTTATTGCTTGGTGAGAGAAAAAGAAAATAAAAAGCAACAAAGTAAAAGACAAAATTACTTGCTTATCTCCTCAAATTGGAGATTCTGACGCAATGTATGGACATGAATAGTTCTAAGGTAAGTCATACTTCATAAAGCATAAAATAGAAAAGTACATTGAATAAAAAAAATAACCAAGGCTTGATTTGGATGTTCCAAATCTAGCTAGGGATACAAACTTAAAAATAAACACTTGAAAGGATTCCTAATTTTGTTTTTTATTTGAAAGAAGACAATGACTTACAAAAAGAACCTAACTATATGATACTAAGCTAGTGTTCCAAAATGTCGATACCTAAATATATTATACTAAACTAGTGTACCTAAATGTCCGTACATAAATATATTATACTAACCCAGTGTACCAAAATGTTCGTACCTAAATATATTGTAATGAATTAGTGGCACATAAGAAAATATGCAAAAATCAATTTATGAACACTATAAAATTATAAATAAAAATAAGAGACAACGAATACATATGTTGGCATTTAATAGAGTCTAGGGACTAAAATCAATTTTTAATCTTGTATAAGACATTTTTCTAAACTTCATCTTATTTAGGGATTAAAATCTAGTTTTCTAAATAAAAAATAAAAACACCTTACATACGAAACCATTAGTGTGAACACATAATTTGAATAGAGAAAAATGGTGTGCACTTATCCTTGATTATAAATAGGATAGCAGTTTCGAAGCTATGAAGCAAGTAAAACACATGAAAAAGAGAGAAGATGGAAGAGAGAAAAAAGAAGAAGAGAGAAGTGAGAGTGATCATACCATTTAACATTGCAACATTATCATCATCATCATCAACAACAACAACAACAACAACATCAACAACAACAACAACAACAACAACAACCAATGACAATAACAACAACAACAACGGCAACAAGAACAACAACAACAATAACAACAACAACAACAACAACATCAACATTGACAACAAATGGGTTATCAAAGTTTCGAAGAAATCCAAAGACAAGGCAAACCCTGACCTTGAAAAAGACAAGGCAAACCCTGGCCCTAAAGAAGACAAGGCAAACCCTGGCCATGAAGAAGACAAGGCAAACCCTGACCATGAAGAAGACAAGGCAAACCTTGGCCCTGAAAAAGACAAGGCAAACCCTGACCCTAAAAAAGACAAGGCAACATCAACATCAACAACATCAACATCAACATCAACAACAACGTCAACAACAACAACAACAACAACCAACGATGACAACAACAACAACAACAACAAGAACAACAACAACAACAAAAACATCAACATCGACAACCGAAGGGTTGTCGAAGTTTCGAAGGCAACCCTCTTTGAAGACAAGGCAATCCCTGACCTTGAAGAAGACAAGGCAAACCCTGGCCCTGAAGAAGATAAGGCAAACCCTGGCCCTAAAGAAGACAAGGCAAACCCTAGCCTTGGCCCTGAAGAAGACAAGGCAAACCCTGACCCTGGCTCTGAAGAAGACAAGGCAAACCCTGACCCTGAAGAAGACAAGGAAAACCCTAGCCTTAAAGAAGACAAGGCAAACCCTGACACCGAATAAGACAACGCAAAGCTGGACCCTGAAAAAAAAGATCTCTTTACAGCCGCTCAGCATTCATGATCATAACTATCATATGATGTTTGTGGGTAACGTCTCTGGAAACCCTCACGAGACTTCACTCGTCCCATCAGGGTCACCTATGGGTTTAAAGGCTTATTGCATGCGCTCAATGCAATCGAGTTCCCTGCGAAAGTGGCATTAGTTTTCATCCCTAGTTTTTCTTATTTTTAGTTTCTACGTATTTCAGTTCCACTGTATTGTGTGTGTGTGTGTGTGTGTGCGCACGCGTGTTAAACCAATAAACACTGATCGTATAAGCTCTATGGTTATGTCCTTTATGTAGTAGCTAGTAAGTTCAATAAAAATTGTGTTTCTTGGGAATTCTTTCTTTTAATGACATACGTATCACTTGAATTCCACATATCAATAGCTTTATGTACTAATTAAACTAATTAAGAAATCGAGAAGGAACTACAAACTTGCTACTCTAGTCTAAATAAGTGAAAAGGGAAGATTGGTACCTTGCATCAACTTAGGGTTCTATCCGGTGGAGGATTAGTATTACAGTGCAATCTATTTTCGTGCATCTTAAACCAAACAATATGACAGGCCTCAGAAAACTTTGTGAATATAAAAGTATAAACCTTGCGGAAATGTGTCCGTAGTTTTCAATTTTCCGTAAACTAAGTTGTCCTAATTTTTTTTTTCTTTTCAAATCAAACTAAGGGGTCATAACTCATTAATAACTAACTCAATGAAAATCTTCCTAAGTCAATTTCAAGAACTTCCAATAATTTTCGAACAACGTCTCTAATGGGAGATGTATGAGCATCAACAATGGAAAGATAAATTCTAATTTGAGATGCGAAAATCATATTTACATCGCAATATACATTTCTAGAAGATGTAAATATGAGTTGTATTTCCAATGAGAAATATGCAAGTTTGATATCTCATTTAATTTTCTTTATTTGATTGGCAGAACCCACCACCAAAAGATGTAAAATTAGGTTCTGAATTACATATTCTAGCGAAGGTGAATATTTTACATCTCTCTTTTTGAGATGCTCTACAATGCCTTGAAATTGGCATTTTACATTTCTTGTTGGCCAAATATCTCTCCATGGAAAGATGTAAAAAATTCATCTTCGGCAGAAAATGTAAATAAAAAGAATGTAAATATACACTTATTTTACATCTTTAGAACATGGACAAAGTTATGGAGAGAAACAAAATAACATCCCAAATTTACATCTCCTCCATTGGATTTGAATCTACTTTCACATCTCTTTGAGATACAAAATGAGAAGTAAATGTGTTTTCGCATCTCATATTTGCATCTTTCCACTAGAGATGCTGGTGTACTTTTACAACTCTATATTTTTTTTTTCTTAATTTTCTCTAGAAGTAGGCCAAGATGAGAGGGGATTGTTCGAACTCTTGGCACGGAGGAAGGGATGCTCCAACTCTTGACTAAATACAAAACTCACTAAGCCAATTCCACGAATTCAAATAATTTTCAAGTAAAATTCGCAAATTTAGAATTGTTTCAGCAAATCTCTATTTTTGTTTCTCTTCTATGGAGTGGAGGCCAATTTTTTTTTTGGGGGGGGGGGGTGGTAATGTTCGAAAATCTTTGCTCGAGTGTGGGATAAATGCTTAATACCACTAAAACTAAACATTTCATAATCCATTTTACCCAGTAGTGAAAAGATTCTCACATACGACCAGTGACTGATTAAGCGCTTGAATGTACTGAAGCAAAAAAAGAAGAGGAGAAAGAGGATGAGGACCGAAAAGCACAGACTTATGATTGATGAATAGGGGCTTGCCCGACACACCACTCATTATGGCAAGTACATGGAAAACGTCGAACAAGGGTTGTGTCGGTGGATATTTATTACACGTCATTGTGGGCCTTTGACCACTTATCGTAGAACTTACCCGACGGACATGGTTGTTGGGCAAATCCAACCTTGCCGACGAATATTGAATTTTTCGGGCAAACATCTAGATATGGCGCGCCATTTTTTTCCCTCTTCGCACCAAAATTTTGGCAGATGAATTGTGACTTGCCCTACGATAGGCTTCCAGTTCGTAAAGGTTTTGAGTAAACCCTAAATGTTGACCATCGTTGCCCTACCAACTGAAACATGCGTCAGGTAAATTCCCTTTACCCCACAAAATTTAGTCCGCCTGGCAAACATTTGTAAGGCAAGCTCTATTTTTTGGTAGTATTGGTAGAACTACAAAGAATTGTTAATGACGACGGCTAAACCTAGGGCCCTTCACAATTAATTTTTTTTCAAAACTATTTGTTTTTCTTACTTGCTGTCCAGTTTTACAAAAACCATTTTTAATTTTCTTTTTTTTAATATTTATTTTAATCTACAACAAAACTCACGTTGGATTATTGGTTCAGGTAAAAAAGTTTGTTTTTGGCATGCCAATTTGTTGGATAAATTCTTAATTGAAGTTTTAAACATTCCAAAGGCTTTGAGTAAAACTTTGCATGCACGGGTCTCCAATTTTATTATTGATGGGAATTGGATTTGTCCTACCTCTCTCCTTGATAGTTTACATCTTATTTGGGGTCAAATTTGTTCTATTTGCTTGCCAAAGATTGCTGAAATTGATGATACTTTGATTTTGACTGATTCTCCTGGTGGTCATTGTTGAGCAAAATTGTACACAATATGTAAACAAGTAATTCACTCTACACAATTTCACCCTCGTTCATTTTTCTGAAGAGGGTTTTATTAATTTGAGTTCGACTCTTTTTAGACTATGCGTCTATTAATTACAATCCTTTATTAATTAAAAGGAAAAACCCCTTGATTCCATTATGACTAAATCGTAACTTGAGGATTTAGGTGTTTATTTGATTTTGCGACTGCATCCAAGTCGAGCCCTAGATTGCCTATGTACCCTTTTTGAGGGGTCAAATCACTCGTAGTTCCTTTGATTTGGTTTAAGATTTTTAGTGAGTGAATGACCCACTAAAGAAAGATTTTTTATTCGGTGAATTTGGTTGAATGAACCTGGGATTCAATTTGGATTTTGTGGTGAATTTGGTTGAGGTGAACCAGCGTAGTTCAAAATGTATTTGTTTGTATTTGATGCCTTGTGTAGTTTCAGCTTGTGCAGGCAAGGATTTTGTGCCACTTGGAGCGTTTGATGCCTTGTACAGTTTTAGCTCGTGCAGGCGATGAGCATTTTGAAATTTGATGCACCTTCATGCCATTTGGTATTTGATACGGCTTCGTGCCAATTGAATCGGCTTTGGGCCATTTGGAATTTTATACTGCATATATTTGAGTTTTGGTTCAAACAATGCCCTCCTGTTTATGTGCAATTACGTTGGAAAATTCGTAATTACGTAGGGGTGAATCCACTTTGTTGAAAGGTGTGTCAGCTGACACCTCCAAGTTTATTAACTTTTTATAAAAGAGTCAGGCTGTCTTTTTGACAATCTGAGATGTCACTGAAAACTACTTTCTAGCTGTTCGACGAATTGCCTTTATGGGCACTGAATAGAGTAGCTACTAGTGCCTTTGCATACGTAGCCATGAGCATATTTCCGATATGCTCACTCGGCATATGTTGAAATGCTCACTCAAAAGTTATTGACAACAGTTGACATGACATTATTAATAGTTAGATCATGAACATCGTATTCAGTATAGACGTAAGTTATTATTAAAGGATGTCATGGAATTACACAATATTGTAATTCACTTACGATCCTTATATCTTAAAGTATAATGGGCATGACGTTAACATCCATTGTGTGAACCACAAGAAAGGTAAGGTTGTAGTACAACCGTTCGAATTTGCACTCCAAAATTTTATAATAATTGTAACGTTATAATTATTTAGACACGGTAACATTTGTATTCCAATACAAAAGTTTGCCTTTACATTATGGAGTGTGAACAATATAATAACAATATAAAAGTACGATATTATATTTGAACGTGTTTATATTACACTAATCAAATGATACCAATGAATTTGTATTAAAAGGTAACGTAAATTAACCCAAAAAGGTTAAAAATTAGTTTTCTAAGTTCAAAAACATGATACGGAAGATTCAGTTACTCAATTCGAGATACAAACCTCAATCAAATGGGTTATTGAGGATCGCACAATTTAAAATGAATGATCTGAAACTCAAAATCCACTAGTTCGAGACATAAAAATTAGAAAAGAATCTTAATTCCTCAGAATATGGTCCAAGGAATTGGTACGGCAATAAAGTTCTCACCATTTGCCTGGATGATCTTCTCTTTATTCTTCATTATTTATCCCCAAATTAAGGATAATTCTATAAGAAAAGTATAACAAATACCAACGCAAAGAAAAAGGTCAGATCCCATCCAAACCAATGAACATAAAAGGGAAAGGAAAAAGGTAAACAAGGAGATTAACATGTCGGTGGTGTATTTTATATTTATTTGTTTATTATAATAAAAATAGAAATAAGTAGTTTAAACTTTTATGATGAGTTTGTTGCATCGGACTATCACAGACTGAACTAGCTTAAGGGATTAAGTTGGACTGACTTAGACTAGACTAATCTGGACTAACTTATTGAAAGATTTGTGATTAAGGAATTATAATATTATATTAATTAATGCATATATAGCAATATTTTATATTATTTAATGTATATAATAATAATATTTTATATTATTTATTATTTATTCACTTTTACTTTTTTACTCTTAAAAACTACCCTTCTCAAAGCATCTTTTCTTTTCTTTTCCCTCTGGCTCCACCCCATTTCTTCTTTCCTCCATCTTTCTCCTGAAAAACATAGGTGTACAGCTCATCGCAAATTCTTCAAAACAAGCTCATCCTCTTCACTCTCTTGCCGCTGTTTAGCATCTCCACCTTCCTCATCCTTTTTTTCCTAAAAATTTTCGAATCTCTCTTCTCCCTTTGATATATGCGTTGGCTTCTCCGTCTACAAAGCCATCTCACAAATTTCTAGCAAT